ATTGAGAAGTAAAACCAGTCAAATAAATGGAAATGCCATGTGAAGCATTTCTTTAATTCCATTAGAGTAGCAATGCAATAAAACAAACTGGCTGGATTCGGTTTATTTGGGAAGTACGGGTACAAAGAGCAAGGATGTGAAAGTACGAGTGGGTTGTTGTGGTGAAGTTGTAGTTCTTATTCCAAGATAAGTTACACAATTATCTTACCGGTTTCGCTTTGGGCTTCTGCTTGGCCAAACGTTTCTGTTTCAACATAGTCCGTTATGGACGCACAGGCACACACAACAAATTCAAAGGATGACGTTTCGCTTTCTTGAACTGTTATTCTTGGTCTGTGTATGGGTGTTTTGTGTGCCTGGAGATTCCTTTTTCAATTGATTTTTAATGAATTCGTTGCTTGTGTTTGCCTTAATGTTTGTAGCTGGCAGCAAATCTGGCCTGCAGGCAAACATTGTGAAGAAAAAAGGCAAAAAAATGGGGAGAAAAGAGAAAAAGGTTATGAAATATATATTTCTAAATACATTTGATTTTGGTCTCGCTTGACCCTCATTTCAACTGAAAGCAAAACGTGCAGGCATGCACTGTCCGTGTTTGTCAAAAATTGCTTCATAAAAACTAAAGAAATAAAAACCAATTGAATAATAAACATTAATGCTCTCATGCAAGGGGTGAGCTAATAAAGTCCCGCACATAACACTTGCGTGCAAACATAGTATACATTTATAGCATATGCCCAGGCGCGCCACGCTTCGCTGTGCCACAAAGCGTGCACTCTATTTTAGCGTAAATCCCACTATGAAAGCAAATTTCTGGCCGGACTATTGTGAGCCATTGAATTAGTTATTTTTTTGTCATATTTTTGACACAACACAATGGGAAAGACAGCACTTGTGAAAGAGTTTGTGGGTGTGTAAGCAAATAATAAATGCGTAAACAAATACAAAAACACAAACAATAAAAAACAAGCGAAATCTTTTATGTCCCTTAGCAATTAAAACGCAAATGATGACAACAAAAAAAAAGTGTATATCGGTATGTACATATGCAAAGAAACATGTGATTCAACATGAGGGCCTGAACGGGCTTACATCAATCAGTTGTGTAAAAAGGGTTAACCGAACATTTCTTAATGCATACTAATTGTGTTTATTTAGGCACAAAGCAAATAAATCGCGCATGAAATATTTAAATGTGAGCCCAGCATAAAACAACATAGTAAGGCCCATAAAAATCGCAGGCATTCAAAGGAGGGCGGACGCACACAAACATACCTTAACGGGCTTCTTTATGGACACAGGGCGGCAATACTGATGGTAGACTTGCACATGGTTCGATGTGAATTTTCCCAACATGTAGAGGGATGAAGAGCTGGACGCCGGCAGGAATGCAGTACAAGTTGCCAGACAGCACAGGTTACTGTGGCCGTGGTTCGCTGAGGTGATGGCAAAGCAGCTGGAAAAGAGAGAGAGAGAGAGAGAGCAAAATAACTTTTAAGTACACATGTATGCTTCGACAAATGCAAGTTTACATAAGTACTGTTACAAAAATTTCGGCCACTGGCCAAATTGGCGGCCTGTTCCTTTCAGTGGGGCGCACATTTCACGGCCCATTGGGCAGCAAATTGAAGTGCGGAACAAATGTGCTAAGCACAGAGCACTAAGCATGTGGCATCATTCCAATCAATTTATTATGCCACGCACAACCCGGCGTATGAGCAATTCCACGTTCTTCATATTAAATTGCTTTGGCGGCAATTAAACACCATTTGGAAGTAATTAAACCTCACACATACCACAATAAATAAATAAATATGAGCCCGCTAAACATTCTTGGTATCCATAAAAATACTTTTTTATACAAGTACAACAAAAAGTGTTTACCTCTGTCAGTAATAGGAGAAAAACCAACAAAACAAATAATTGGTTTAAAGACTTAAAGCTGGTTTCATTTATCAATTTAACTTATTATTTAATTACATTTATTTATTTATTTATTTTGCTGGTAGAGTGTTAGAGTCAAGCGTATCAGACGGTCTAAGGACAAGGGAAAATATAATTACGCATACATATGTGGAATGCCGGAGCTTAGACCAGTGTGCACTGTTACAGTTGCCCTCCAACTTGTCAACGGCCATGTTTATAATGCACACGATAAGGCCAAGAATACAAAACGATGATGACGACAGCAATGCACAGCATAAAAAAAACTAAGCAAGTGGCAGGCAGCCGTGTCCCCAACACTAACGCTCACGCCAACACGATTTAATTCACAGAAATCTAAAGCTCTGGGCGCATTGTAAGGCGTCAGTGCCAAGGACAAGAAAGTGCGGCAACAGTACGTGCGTGTGTGTTGCCAGAATCCCTTCTGCCACCACCGCCACCACCGGCTCCTCGTGTAATTGAAATAAAAGAAATTCTGCAATGATATGCCCGTTGTGGCTGTAGTGCAAACGTAAACGCCATCGCTGGCCGTAGTTAAAAAGTTATTTCAAGTATTTGAGCACTAAGCTCGAATCATGAAGCGTCTTGAGGCGGAAACAGAGCGGCAAAGTCAAAGAAAACGTTAAATATGTTGATACTGCTGTGCCATAGCTGGCTGATGCTTTCTCTATCTTAATTTGTGGAATTCAAGCCATTTGCTTTCATTCGAGACTCGAGATTATGTGCGCGCGCGTTATAATCCGCTACTTAACCAAAGCAAACACAGAGATATATAAATAGAGGCAATAGCACACTCACACTACATCAAAAACCGAGTGGCAGGAAATGAAAAAGAAAAGAAGAGAAAAATGAAGTTACTTTAAGCCAAGGGAAAATCAATACTTAAATACGCTTCTGGGCATAAGTGATTAACTTTTGCGCAGTCAGCAAGGCACAAAATTGAGATAACGAGCTGTTAAATTTATGCATGAACAAAAGACATTTTAATTTTAATATTATGCAGACACGTACAAGAAGTTGTGTACAAATTGTGTAGCGCCAGGTTTGCCCTACTTCTGCCTTTCTTTTTCACTTTGCATGCAGCTTCTAATGATTGCGCAAAGTTATAATTTGTCTTTAATAAGCCATTGGGATGCGGCGATGTGGATGCGCAGCGCATATTAAAGTCTTATCGTGATCGATTTAAAGCGACCCCACAAATGCAAGTAAATAAGGAGGCGCTTAAAAGTATGCTACATTTTAAGCTGACTTCTCAATACGTGTATTGTGCGTGTACATGGGGCTGCGTAAGCCTAAGAAGCTTGCGCTCTGCAGTATGGCAATTGAGCCAATTGCAGAATAAGAAGTAAGAAGCACAATCAGTCAACGCCCACAGTTAACAATGCGACCAAAGAGTGTGGCGAGAGACAATCCTAACTTTTCGAGATTTTTTTTGAGCAATGCCAGTCGATAGCTGAGACACAAAGGCGCCCAGGCACGTCCGTGCCTCGTTTTCAAGCTCAAGCATGTGTTGTCAACTGTCTGTCATGTGCGCTCAACTGGCTATATGAATGAATTCCTAATTGGGCATGGGGCCGGGGGCGACCGAAATGAAAAATGTGTTCCGAGGGCAAACGTTTGTTTGTGTTTTTATCTCAGTCGCAGCAAGTTGGCAGCAAAAGATGCTTAAAATGAAATTAGTGAAGCAGACCCAAACGCAATGTGTTGCCCAAATATGATTACTAAGAGGACATTAAGTGAAAGTAAAAGGATAGCAGATAGCACACATATATACTATATGCAAGCAAACGTCTATATAGGAATATAAGTGATATTGGTAGGCAAGTAAAAAGTACACGAAAGAGCACACCACTGACCTCCAAGGACCATTGAAATAGGGCCAAGGCTTTGGCGTCCAACTCCACTCATTCAAGAGCAGACAAATGCTTTGACATTTGTTGATGTCACACAGCTCTTAGATACCCACATATATCATACATATTACATGGCTATGTGCTTTCATGTACATATTTGTGCTTGTACCTTGGCGTTCTTATGGGTGTGGTGTGTGGTCTGTACATAGTTAGTACACATAGGGTTCTTAGCCGTACCCGCGTATTGTCACTTGATTTGCAGTTTGCTCTTTTTCTTCCCCGACACATGCCCAAGCTCGTTTTCGTTTCACTGTGCCCCAGGCGGCCACTCAGCCATGCAACCATAATGGCTCTCATCAGCCACAAACACGCTGTAAATCTGTAGCAACTAACGATGGTGGCGACGACAACAACAACGACAGAAATGCCACATTGAATAAACGTTTACATTCTCCCACAAAGACATACATACAATATTTCAGACGGCCAATGCACAGTGGTCGGAAAGGGTTTGGAATTGGTCAACAATTTGTCTACTATCCTCCTATGCTCAGATTCATACTAACTCGATCGTTACCTTACTCTAATTACACCGTAATAGAAGCTGGCCAACAATAAATGAAGAACCTGACCTGTGTTAGTAAATTGTTGTGACACTGACTCGGTATCAAGAATAATAATAAATGATATTTAAAACAATTATACAAGTAATATAAGAGCTAGTCACGGTTAAGTGGTTCTTCTTTTCTTACTGTAGTAATAGAATTTGCAGTAAGCTGCCTCTCCACTGCACTTCTTACTATAATTACACCGTAATAGAAGCTGGCTGACAATAAATGAAGAACCCGACCTGAACTACTAAATTGTTGTGAGACTGACTTGGAATTTTCGGTGTCAAGAATAATAATAAATTGTATTTAAAACAATTATAATATAAGGTCTAGTCACGGTTTTTTTTTTTTTTTTTTCTACTAATAGAATTTGCAGGCGATTGCCATCGATCCACTGTACTTTGCCTTTTTCTATAGTGCCAAACAACATTGCTTGCTCTATTTTTGTTCAGATTGATTTTAATGCGGAAGCAACAGACTGAATGGCATCCGGTCGGGCCACGTGTGACATTCAAATGCCAGGAAGACACAATAAAACTATGCTGGACGAGCTTGCTACTGCGATATAGACAAATAGGTGTCCTGGCGACCATAATCAATAAGCAATTCAGATCAAATTTATTGAACAAACACTTGGAACGTGACCTGACGGACGCACACATATGTATATGTGTACATACATCATGGAGAAGGTGAGAGTATAAGTGTGTTAGTGGGTGTGCTTTCAAATGTGCCGCTCTGCGTCTGTGTAAATAGTGAATATTTGGGAATCATTCTCCGCCCTTGCAGTATGTCTCAATGCGCTTCATGATGACCTCTCTAAAATTTGTTATCATGCTTCTGGTCACATTCACTTGACTATCCGAGAGGGCGCAAATGGTCGTGCCCTCCATAGTTTTCAGAATGGTTGGCAGCCAGTCAACCTCCTCTGGCTGTGCCTCGCCCGTGTTAAATCGTTTGAATATCTCTGGAAGCCAAATGCTGCCTTCGCGGCATGGAGTACACTGCTTGCAGGTATGCTGTTTATAAAAGGTAATGGCGCGTAGCATGGTCATCAGCGGATCGCATTGTTTGTTCATCACAATGACGGCACCGGATCCTAAACTGCTGCCCTTAGATTCTAGGCAATCGTAATCCATACTAACATCATCTGCTGTCTGCTTATTGATAAGAGGAGTTGAGAGTCCGCCGGGAAATACAGCCAATAAATTATCCCAACCGCCACGCACGCCTCCCGCATGACATTCGATAAGTTGTCGCAACGGAATGGACATTTCCTCCTCAACGGTGCATGGCTGATTTACGTGGCCACTGATGTTGAAGAGCTTGGTGCCAGAATTATAGCTGCGTCCGAGACAGGCGAACCAGCCGGGGCCTCGTCGCAATAAAGTGGGCAGCACGGCAATCGACTCTGCATTGATGACCAAGCTAGGGTGGCCAAAGAGTCCCTTCTCTGAGAGGTAGGGTGGCCTGCGACGTGGCCTGCCCATCTTTCCTTCCAAGCAGTTGATCAGCGCTGTCTCCTCCCCACAAATATAGCGATCGCCGCGCTGTACATTGATGTCGAATTTCCAGCCCGTGTCGCAGGCATTGCTGCCCAAGAGGCCGTACTTGTACGCCTCGGCAATTGCAAACTGTAGGTTACAAGCCTCATTGTAGAACTTATTGCGCACATAGATAACGGCTCGTTCACAACCCATGGTGTACCCGGCTAGAACCAGTCCCTCAATCAACTTGTGCGGCTCATGGCGTATGATTTCCCGATCCTTGCACGTGCCCGGCTCGCCCTCTGCACAATTCATGACGAGCACTTTACCCTTCGCCTCGGTTGAGCGCAAATATTCCCATTTGTGACCCACATAGAAGCCAGCACCGCCACGTCCGCGTAGTCCACTTTTCTTTACTTGCGTCATGATCCAATCGGGTCCCATTTCAATTAGATCGGCGGTACGGTACCAATCACCACGCTGGCAAGCACCCTTTAGACGCCAATCATGTCGGCCATAGAGATTCTGAAATATACGATCACAGTCGTGAAGGCGTCCGAACTCCTTTTTGGTGTTTGTAATAATTCCCTCGGGTGGCGGCAGCTTCTCTTTTCGCGTGCTTGTAGGACCAGCCTTTGCCTTAGCTGCCGATGCAGCCGGTGGTGCCGTCGCACTAGCTTTCGCATCCGGAGGTGGTGCTGGAGGCTTACCCGACTGTTGGGCATTGCGCACGGGCGTACGGTATAAAAGGATCCGATAATTTGGACGCAAACATCGTGTGTACATTTTATACGAAAACTGACACACCTGATGAATTACAAAATGATCGATTTGTGTTCTGAAAGCTTGACTGGAAAATCTTTCCATACTATATATTTTTTTCCAGATACACGCATTTTCTTAAATGAAAAGTGCAAACAACTTTTTACGCTATATAGAGTCTACTTTTAAATTGGTTTAATTATAGGAAGTTCTGATATTTTAAGTCTAGTCCAAAATGAAGCTACATCTGTATAAATAGATAGAAGCTTCCTTTTTCACTTTTATTTCTCTTGTAATAGAAACTCAAATATTCAAAAAACCTTGTTTTATGCCCTCGATTTCTGTTGTCCTTAACATGTAGAGCTGTTTTCCTTTTTTATGTACAAAATCGATTTAGGCAGCGCTTTAAAAGTTTGCGAAACACAATCGCGAAGCAAACGCTTAAGCAAAGATGAATAAATTACAAAAATAAATAGGACCAGCAGAGACTGGAGAGGCGCAACTACGAGAAATAGAAAGACCCAATTCAAAACACATGCTGCAGGCGCGTCCCACACATACAATATGTACTCTATCAAATACTTATGTGTGCAGTAGGACTACCCAGAATACCTTTTACTATACACGCATACGTACGTACACAAGAGTGCGATGATATAATTACCCCGATGCTGCCGTGAATGAAAAAGTGAATAAATGCTTGGGAGCCCGCTGCGACGACATGTGCGTTTATATGCCTAAATATTTTATGAACATATATATTTTTTTTTTGTTTTTTTTTTTTTTTTTGAATCGACACCACGTTGACTGAAGCTGCCGACACACACAAACCCAAGTATGTCTGGAGTTTAATTTACGCACCCAAGTGTCGATGCGTACCGTAAGAGAAATTCGAGTTAATAAGCTGGCAAAAAGGGATGCGTGATAAAGGAACAAGTGAGGCGCAAATTGTGCGTGCATGTGACAGTTGTGAAGAGCACACATGCCTCCGTTTATAACATTTTACAGCTGCATGCGAGCCCAATTAGTAGACATTGCCTCAGCATTTTGGTTGCTTTCATTGAGCTTTCACACGCCATGAATGCGGCTAGACATTTATGGCACCATCCGTTGCATGCAAAATGTTAGTGTATCCTCTGGCTTTTAATTACTTACAGTGCAGTGACGGCAAGTACCAACAGCACTTTCATTATCATTCATATAAGACACTATTCTTGCCATTCGACTCGTCTAAACATTTCCATGCGAAGTCATTAGCTTGATGGCGAACTTTCTACAAGCAGCCACTATTTATGCTTCTTCTGCTTGTTCAGAAAATTAAATGCCGCATTTTAAAAACCTTAAGAAAACACTTTTGCATACTTCATTATATCGGGTCTCACTTCTTACTTGTTTTCTCATTAATTATTCGCCAGTACAATGAACTGCAAATGTCTCAACTTTAGTTTGTTTTACTATTCATACATCAAACTGAAAGACATCCAGACCCTGGTTCGCATAAAATAATTAATAATAAATATTTTTTGTCAAGAGATAAGTTGATTTACGCATCATTGTGGTTTTTGTGAGCTGACCTGTATCCAAATAGGAGATCAGAAATAGGACGAATTTATGTTAATTTTTAGCTACTTAGTGCCTTCTAAAGTTTTCTGACATTGACTTTGGTTTTTAATTGTTTCTGTCGTACCTCTGTTCTAGCTTTCTAGAGCAAATACGGAGCTTTTTAGTTAGATTATTATATATACGACTACTTATTGTAGAGATCCCTTAACTATATTGGCTACAGATGAGGTAAGTCGTCTTTACGTCTGCGCAAAGGCTATACTTTGCTGTAGCTTACAACACAAGCTGTACAGTGTCCACATTACATTTTTTTGGTACTCGTATCAAAGAGGTTAGTTATATAAAATATTTATTTATATTTACATAATCAAAACTGCTCTCATAAACGCAGTACAGAACGCTAAATCGTTGGTCTAACACTCACAAATCACACACAGTTTCTATTTCCAAAATTGACTGTAAAAGTTAATATTATGTAACTGTGTTTCTCTTAAATAATAATTTGTTACAGTCTTCAAGCAATAAATAAATTGTTCATGCTCTTTTAATTTAAATACGATTCTTCTTCTTATTTCAAAATAATATACAGAAAACCGAAACAAGTACCTAGTACGAGTAAGCAACAATTTCAGAACTTGGTGTACTTCGATATTTATTTTTAAATAACTACAAGACTTCCTTCGACTGCGTCCAATGCTCTTCAATGTATGTAGTACCAGAACTTTATTGCGCCCTGGTTTGGGTCAGGCACAACATGTGTTCAAACTATCTTATCTGTCATCATAAAGTAGTTTTTTGGTTTATTCGTGAACAATAATTGATATAAAGAGCCTTCAAACACCTAAATTCGGAATTTGGTTCCCACATCTTCCGAAATAAACCATTTTTTAATACAGGAACAATTTTTAAATCGAGCTATGTGTATGGTGGAGTGATCTCGACATATTATCTGTATCCCTTAAGAAGAAGAACTAAAATTAATCAATCAAGTAGTACCCTTTTTAGTGGTTACCCAAAAAGGACCTAATATATTGAATTTTTGAAATTGAATAAAATAATTGGTATTTTTAGGCACAGATTACTGTGTCGGGAGTACAAAAAGTGTTGCCTGCTTTTGGCTGCGCGCCAAACTGTAAACAGAACAGCGTTCGTGTTGCGTGCAACGCGCTTGGAGATTAAGCCCAGTCCAGCGAATGGACTAATATGAGGCAACGGGCCCAAATGCGCACTAAAAGGTAGTCCAATCTCAATTGAACTAAATACTATATGTACTCGTATATGCGGAACCCATTAAACGTTCTATGTTTGGTGAAGCTTATGGATGTATACGGAATTTGTTTGCTTTGGAAATGTTTGTTTCCATGAAAGCGAACATATGTATGACGATTTCTGCGAGTTTATCATGATTTTACACATAAAGGCATGTTTTTGTTTGCCCTTATTGCCTAGAATGCCCAATGTCCGGAACTTTATTGGAATATGTAACATTGATTTGTGTTGCGTTTATGGTTTGTGCGTCATAAAGCGAATGCGTGTTGTACTAAATGGTTCTGCAAATGAAATATAATACTTGTCGTTTACTCTATTCTGGTTAAACGTGGCCCATGTTTGTATAAGGATTTTATAGCAAACGGAGATAACGACAAGCGAAGTGGCAGGCGCATTAAAAAGTTTCATTTTCTATATGCCACACTGATCTCAACAAGAGACAAAGAAAAGCGCTGATGACAGTTTAAATGTGGAAATAAGAAGTAAACAAAAACGTTGTCAGCAAATCGCAAACGGTGGCAAACCACAAGAAAAAAGAGAACTGCATACATTTTAACGTTAATAAACTGTTTAATCTCATTACAGCGTCACTGTAAACTTTCTATTGTCTTATCCGGCAATCAAATGAAAAAAATAAAAGCGCCCAAGCTTAACGAAGGGAACTTATATTGTACTTCTTACTTAGCGAAAAGTAGCAGGTACACTTAATTTGGTTAAAATAATGAAATATTTCTGCTATAGGAATTGCTAAAATTATATCAAACTATTTTTGAGGCTTTGGTTTGCAATAAACTTTCTCTACATATGAACTAGACAAGTTTGGTGTTGGGATCAGTGTTCATACAGACGAACAAGCAAGCTATTTCTATTAATTCGTCTCGTCCTACATATGCACCTATACAAAAAAGACTGTCTTCCTCTATGCTGGCTTGTGCCTACTACTTGTATTTGTCGAATAATAAATAATAGTCGACATTTGTGTATTGCTTCAACTTAATTATCAAACTAAGAGGCAACAACTGCACGAATAACTTGCAGAAATTTAGCACCTAAAACAAAAGCAATGACTGTCAGATTCCAAACAAAACGTCAAACTCCAAGCAATTATACTCGTAAATACTCATCTACACTCACTACCCAGAGCCCCGCGAGGCTAAAGTTGCACCTTTTGTGACGCAATAGCGCCGTGCCGCGCATTAATGGCACATGTTGCCTTGGCAACGTGACAAGGCTGCGAGCTAAGCACACGTGTGCAAGGATACGTACCGTAAACAGGACACAGCGCTGCTAAATGTGTAGACTTGAATGCATTTGCAGCGCATTTATGCGCACCTTTGACTCTGCGCTTACCTGCCTGAGTGCGTGTGCTCACATGCACATAAACCGCGTAGGTGTGGCATGTGGCAAGTGGCACGCATCCCTGAATCTTATGGAAACTAAATGAATTACCACGACATCTTCTGCGGTTTCTGCTGGTGACAATATCCGTAAACAGCAATCAATAGTATGTATGTATATCGCAAATAAATGCCCAAAGTTCATGGAGGTGCAGTCAAGGACGCTAACTGAAGGAAGCTAATTTGCATGCAACTACTATACGAGTGGAACAAATAAGTTCGAAGTTGGCTGACTAAGTGCTGTGACGCTTACAACCATCGTTTGGTTGCACAGTTGGGTTTGCTAATAAGGACACACACACACACATCAGCAACTTCCAGGAATAATGTTAGTGTAACATAAGTCTAAGCGGACATTGAATGCACTTTAAAATCGTTCACTTACTCATATACATAGACAAACTTTTTGGCAATTGTTCTTAAGTCCTTCAACCTTAATTGCTTTGGTTTATATAGAACGAGAAATGTACTATCAGACAATGTCAAAGTGTTTAACCAAAGACACCATTTTACACAAAGAATTTATTGAAATAAGTAGGTTTCATGTGCTACTGAAATGTAAACTTCAATTCAAGCTTCCTATTCTAAAGCATGTATTTAAAGTCGAATGATTTAAACATAGTGAAGAGTTTTTTATGCAGACAGTTCTTTATCGCTGCATTTTCTTGATATATTCCCCGACTTGCCTTTTAAAAAGGGGATGTAACGGCTATAACAATCGTCTCAGCACGCTTGTAATAAATGGCAATTTCCGTCGCTAACAAACGCACACTGTTGCACGTTAATAGCCGGCTTGCTCAAACATACGTGGCGCCCCCTCATCGGGCACTTAACTAGC